CTACCAATCAATGAGGTAAGGAGATGTTTCCATCTTCTCACAATTTTTTTCAATTTCTTTATTCAAAGATTTGAAGTTCTTGTCATACAGGTCTTTCACTTGCTTACTTAGAGTTACATCAAGATATTTTATTGTGTGTGTTATTTCATGCTATTGAGAATGGTATTGTTTCTTTGATTTCTTTCTCACCATTTTTTTGTTTTGTTTTGTTTGTTTTTGTTTGTATATAGAACAGTCCAAGATTGATGGGCTATCTTTAAGGAGTGTTAGAAGACAGTGGGTGGTATCAAACGTGGGGTTCCTATACCCGGCCAGTCCAATGGTAAAGCAAACACCTGAAATTGTAGAACAGGATATGAACTCTCTGTCTCTCCCTCTTTTTATTTTTCTGTTCCTCTCTCTCTCTCTCTCTCTCTCTCTGTGTGTGTGTGTGTGTGTGTGTGTGTGTGTGTATATGTGTGTGTGTGTGTGTGTGTGTGTGTGTGTTTGAAGAGCCTGCTGGAATAATTATACAGATTTAAAGGGATTTACTGGAAAGTAGTGGATTCTTACCTGGCATTCCATGGACCAAAACAGGCCTCTGGTAAGTTTGCTAAGGCTGTGGACACTATTGTGGTGCTGAGAGAAGGTAGTGCAGTCTCAGGGAGGGACTGAGGCCAGGCAGGGACAAAGGTGTTTATTGGACAGTGGTTAGTGTCTTCTCTGTGATCCAAAGAACAATCCTGGCTTCCAGTATAAGTTGCCAGAGCTATGGAGCCTAGTGTGGAGTCGACAAAAGAGCCACCTCGCTATTCTTACTTTGAAGGTATTATAGAACAGGTCACTGGTATCTTAACAGTCAATGGCTTTCCTAGCCCAAATGTCCTCAATCTTTCCACAATCCACCACAATTCAACAGGTTCAGGTCTATTACAAAAATACCCACACACTTCTGCTAATAAGTTGTCTTATTTTGGCATATTGTTGCTGTGCTGAAACACCTTGACAAGACCAACATTGCGATGAAAGGGATTATTTGGTTTACACTACCATATCACTGTACATCATCAAAGGAGTCAGAGCTCACATAGAACAGGAGCATGCAGGAAAGAACTAAAGGAGAAGTGATAGAGTGATGTTTATTACTGGCTTGCACACTATGGATGCTCAGTCTGCTTTCTTATACAATGGTGTGGGAAGTCCTTTTGTCTATGTTTTGGCACCTACATGGCCAACTAAATCCACTTAAAAACCTGAGAAAGCTTGAAAAGAAATTCTAGACACAACAAACAAAGTTTAGCCACTTTTTTTTTTCAGCTGGCGGCTTGCCGCAGCTCCTTTAAGAAAGGTTCTCCTGAGTCAATGATAGCAGAAAAGCCACACAATTTTGAAATGGTGGCTTTCTGTGTTGTGCTATCAGTGCAAAATCTGACTCTTTCAGGGAGGAGGTCTGGCTACAGAGCATTTTGATGAGGTTTGTGAGCAGACAGTTACAGCTTGCTTAATAGCAACATAGACTTGCTGTGTGCCTGAGAATGAAGCTGTGTGCATGCCTCTCAGAGGTATGAGTGGCTCTGCCATGCTGGACTGGGCAGGCAAGCAGGAAGTACTCTATATACCATAGTAATGACACAACTTAAGTTTTAAGAAGCGCTTAGCATTTTAAAAAGATCCCCTGGACAGTAAAAGAATTATAGATATTCAATAAAGACAAATCCAGATGAGTCATCGTGTTGAATAAATGTACAAAGACTTGGAAGGAAGAACAAAAAGAGTATAAAGAGTCATAAAATAAATGTAATGCTTTAAAAAAAAGAGTAAGTCTTTAAAGAGACAGAGTACAGATAGTCATAGATTAAAAGGAATAAAGAAAAATAAGCCACATAAAAATGGAAAATTCACAGAGAGTCTGGATTGTGCATATTATTGCATTATTTTTAAATTTTTTTTACTGTGAATGAGTTAAAAACAGACAGACATTCTATTGTATTGGCTGCTAAGCTAAACCAGCATGTATATTATAAAGGTATCATGACTTCCAAATTTGGGTATAAGGATATGTTGCTTTAGAAAAGAGGTTCTTCTCTTGTTCCACAGAAGTTGAGAACCTGTGGATTGCTTCCACACTGTGTGGTTTGATAGGCCACAACCCCCTGAAAGGTCATCATGAACACCCCCAAATAATTACTTTGCACAACCGTTGACTGAGATAAACCTATCACACAGGATACACCATGAAAGACCTGATTAACAGCACCCCCAATCAGCTAGAAACAATATGAAGAAACTATACCCATATTTCCAAATATTGTTTATAAATGTTTATTTACATTTAAAGGGAATATGCTATAGAAATTTGCATTGGAATGGACCTTGGTTTATTGATATAAATTTAAGGTCAATTTTGTTATATGTATATGTATTTCTGATCTTTTTTTATTTTTTTTCTTTTTTCTCAAAGTTTATTAAAATACAAAAGTCTCCATTTCCGCCCCTCCTCCCAAACCCCTCCCACTCCCCCCACTCCCTCCCCTCCTCCCTCTCCATCCCCAAGAGCAGTCAGGGTCTCCCGCTGTATTTCTGATCTTGATTAAGGTATTGTGTTTGTCTAGCTCATTTAAAATGTAATGCATAATTAAGAAATATAAGTTCATAGATAATTATCTATAATAGTCAAGTTTGTAGTCATGTTTGTTAGATTTTCTAGATGTACAGAGATGTATTTCAGTTAGATAGGTATTCTTCAAATCTTTCAGAGACCTTCAGAATATGGCATTTAAGAGTCGCCATGACTCTCCTCTCTGAGATGGATGCCGGTTAGAATCCTCCCAGTAAGCCACCACCTCGTGGTGCTACACAGATTATTAGAAATGGGTGAGATCAATATGTAAGAGTTAGTCAATAAGAGGCTACAGATAATGGACCAGGCAGTGTTGAAATGAAAAAAAAAAAAAAGAATATGGCATTTAAAATGTTTTAAGAACTTAAGACTTATCTGTTCCTGGCAGCACCAAGCTACTTCAAGAGGATGATGGGCATTGAAGAGGCTACTTATGGGGTTGGTTGACCATTTGGCAAGAAACTGCTCTTGCCTGGACTACATAAATAAACTGGATATGCAGGACCCAAAGAGAAATAACTGCTAAACTTGCCTAAAGGTAAAACGATTTTTTGGGTTCCTGCTACATGAAAAAGTCTGCTAGACATTTGGCAAAACACACCAAGAAAAAATGTGTTGGACAAACTGCCATAATAGGTAGAACTGTCTTTGAAATTTCCTGATTTGTGAAAAAGTCTGCTGGATACTATGAGCCTATAGGCTGAAGATGGATCCCCATTGGTACAGAAGTCCTTTAGGTGACTGACCAGGAAGTAAGATGTCTCTCTCAATTCTAGAACTTTAGAAGTTGCTTACAATGCACTTTCTGCTTACTTAGGTAATATTATATCCTTCTAGAGTCTTTGATGGAGTTGAAATAGTTAGTTTTCTTATTTGTTGTTTCTTTTTCTTTTTTTACTTATTAAAAATTTGCACCTCCTCCCATTTTCCTTCCACTTCCCCCACTACCTCCACTCCCCCTCCCCTTCCGTCTCCAGTCCTAAGAAAAGTCAGGGTACCCTGCCCTGTGGGGAATTCAAGGCCCTGCCTCCTCCATCCAGGTCTAGGAAGGTGTGCATCCAAACAGACTAGGTTCCCAAAAAGCCAGTACATGCAGTAGACTCAAACCCCAATGCCATCATCATTGGCTTCTCAGTCAGCCCCCATTGTCAGCCACATTCAGAGAGTCCAGTTTGATCACATGCTCATTCAGTCCCAATCCTGCTGACCTTGATAAGCTCCCATTAGATCAGTCAAACTGTCTCAGTGGGTGGATGCACCCCTCATGGTCCTGACTTCCTTGCTTATCTTCTCCCTCCTTCTGCTCTTCATCTGGACCTTGGGAGGTCAGTCCAGTGCTCCAATGTGTGTCTCTGCCTCTAGCTCCATCAGTTATGATAAAAGATAAAAGATAAAGTAAATAGAAATAATGTAACTGTAATTCTTACTTGATAAATGGTTTGTTATATGCAATTTTGCTATTTTAACGCTTTCCTTTTTGTTTAAACAGAAAAGGAGAAATGCTATGTGTTGCTTTTATTGGTTAATGAATAAAAAACTGCTTTGAGCCTATGGCAAGGAAGAACAGAAATAGGCAGGGAAAGCTAGGAGAAAGGAAGCAGAGTCAGAGAGATGCCATGTAGCCCCACCAGAGACAGACACTGAAACTTTAGCTGGTAAGCCACAGCCACGTGGTGATACACAGATTAATATATATGGGTTAAATTAATAGGTAAGAGTTAGCCATTAAGAACCTAGAGCTAATGGGTCAAGCAGTGATTTAATTAATACATATCTGTGTGATTATTTTGAATCTAAGCTAATCAGGCAGCTGGGAACCAAGAAGCAGCCTCCCACTACAATAGAACCCAGAACCTCCATCCCAGGGAAAGCCCTGCCAACAATAGTCTGCTCTCTTCCTCATCAATAACTAGGCTTGCCCACAGTTAGTTGTTATAGGGGTATATTCTCAATGGGGTTCCCTTCTCTCATACAACTGTAGCTTGTTTCAAGTTGAAATAAAAATAACCAGCACATCTGTGCTCCTACTTAGCACCAATAAGATGGTAAAAAGCTATATAGCATGTATACATGATTGCATATATGTATATACACATATAGAGCTATATAGATTTTATCATGTAAGAATTCAACTGAGGGTCTTGCTCATACTTAAAAAGGGGCTCTAACACTGATCTCAGTCCTAATGAATAATTCTGACAAGTTTGCAAAAACAAACAGATACACAAGACAAGACCACTATGGAAGGAAGTGTTCTTAGTGAAATATGGAGTCAACAGAGGAAAATGCAATGTATTCAACTCTCTTTTTCATTTAGTAGCATTTTAATATTTAATACAATAAAACTTATAGCATTACAATAGGAAATACTTGAAAACAATGAAAACTCAATTACAACTTCTTATGGTATTGTTTGACCATAGGAGAAGAAAGGCCAGACACGGTACGTAAAAGTCTTACTAGGATATTTGTATATGAGGGAACTCTTGGCAATATTCAGGAAACTTAAATATCCAGCCTCACAATCAAGGAACACACCAACCCTGCCCCGTGGCTTTTCTATATAGTGATGGATTATTGGGTTTGTGGTGAGGAGACTGTAATGACTACCCTCCTTAATACAGAAAAGAAGAAATGCACCCTTAATTTCAACTACTTTGTTTCTCTTATTTAACCAGGAACTGGTACAGACTCCTACAGCCCAGTCACTAGAGTCCTTCAAATCCAGTTCCCAGTAATATTTCCCTGAGATGAAGCTCTGTGATCCCCAGAAGGCCAAATAGTATCCAACAGGAACCACAGATGTACCCTGATGGTGAGGTCTGAAGGCGGCTCTTCTCATGACATTAAATAGGTTCTTCTTAAAGTGCAATCCAAATAGATTTTGAAAGAAAATGGGCACTGTGGAAAGAATAAACATTTTAGTTAAAATGACCATTTGTATTTCTGAGGTAACAGAGATCTTGAGAATTTTTTTGGTTTTCAAAAACTGGCTTGAATTAAAGGTTAAATTCATCAAAGCCAAGAATTAGTGCAAGAAACAGAATAGTAGTGTGATGAAAAGTTTTATGAAACATTTTGTAGATGCTAGACATTAAAACTCTAAATGACCCAATTAAAAATGGGGTACTGATCTGAACAGAAAATTCTCAACAGAAGAAGTTCAAATGGCCAAAAGACACTTAAGGTCATGGTCAACCTCCTTAGCAATCAGGGAAATGCAAATCAAAACAACTTTGAGATTCCATCTTACACCTGTCAGAATGGCTAAAATCAAAAACACCAATGATAGCCTATGCTGGAGAGGATGTGGAGTAATGGGAACACTCATCCATTGCTGGTGAGAATGCAAATTTGTGTAACCACTTTGGAAATCGGTGTGGTGTCAACCTACCTCAGGATCCAGCAATACCACTCTTGGGAGTATACCCAAGAGATGCTCAATCAAAAATGATTTGTTCAACTAAGTTCTTAGCAGCATTATTTGTAATAGCAAGAACCTGGAAACAACCTAGGTTCCCCTCAATGGAAGAATGGATAAAGAAAGTGTGGAATATATACACATTGGAGTACTATTCAGCGGTTAAAAACAATGACGTCTTGAATTTTGCATGCAAATGGATGGAAATAGAAAACACTATCCTGAGTGAGATAACGCAGACCCAAAAAGATGGATATGGTAAGTACTCACTCATTATTGGACTCTAGCCTTAAACAAAGGATATTAAGCCTATAGTTTCAAGCATAGAGAAGCTAAGTAATAAGGTGAACCCAAAGAAAAACATCTATAGATCCTCCTGGAAATTGGAAGGAAACAAGATTGCCGGGCAAAAGTTGGGAGCATAGGGGTGGGGATGGGGGTGGGAGAAGGGAAGAGGGGGAGAAGGAAAGGAGAAGGGAAAGATTAGGAGAGCTTAGGGAAATGGGAGGGTGGAGATAGAGGAAGGGCGGATATAGGAGCAGGGAAGAAGATATCTACATTAAGGGAGCCATTTAGGGTTGGCAAGAGATTTGGCTCTAGAGGGGATCCCAAATGTCCACGGGGATGTCCCCAGCTAGGTCCTTGTGCAGCAGAGGAGAGGATGCCTGAACTGGTCTTGCCCCACTATCACACTGATGATTATCTCGAATATCACCATAGAATCTTCGTCGGGCGACAGATGGAGACAGAGACAGAGACCCTCATCAGAGCAAGGAACTGAGCTCCCAAGGTCCAGTTGAAGGGCAGAAGGAGGGAGAAGATGAGCAAGGAAGTCTGGACCACGAGGGGTTGGTCCACCGAGACAGTGTGCCTATTCTAATGGGAGCTCACCAAATCCCGCTGAACTAGGACTGAATGAACTGGATTCTGATTGTGGATGCAATGGGGGCTGACTGAGAAGCCATTGATAAGGACACTGGGACTTGTTTTTACTGCATGTACTGGCTTTTGGGGACCCAAGTCTATTTGGATGCACAGCTTCCTAGGCCTGGATGTAGAGGGGAGGGCCTTGGACTTCCCACAGGGCAGGGTTCCCAGCCCTCTCTCAAACAGGGAGGGGGAGGGAGAAGGGTGAGTGGGGGAATAGGAGGGGAATGGGAGGAGGGGAGGAAGTGTAAATTTTTGAATGGAAAAATAAAAAAAACAAACAAAGTATTTCTAACCAAGACATATTTCTCAGGCATTAAAATATATGTTTGCAAAGGTTATCTCATAGTGTAAGGGTACTTCTGCTATTTTCATCATTGCTCATACTCACCTTTGAAGTGGTTGAAACTTTCAGTTAGTCCAGTGATGGGGAGGGCAGAGAGTTCTGGTTTCATAGCCTGGGGTATACTCAGCTCCACTGACTCACTCCTGCAAGGAGAGGAAAATAATGATTTGTATGATGCTAAAGATATCATCACAGTTATTTGGAAAAACCTCACCCCAACTTCAACGCTCTTGGGTCAATTCCCTTGAAACACAAGCCTGACAACTTGAGGCCTGGAACCCATGGTGCAAGGAAATAAACTTTCTCTTGTAATTTGTCCTATGATCTCCACACATGTGCAGTGCTACTTGTGCATGAGCATGAACACACATACACTCCACATGAATATGACAAATAATATTTTTAAAATCCATAACACATCCTATACAAAAAATAGAATATTCTCTTTATAAAGTATATGCACTTTTCTAAGGCAGTTTAATCAATTTTACAGCAATTTCAGGGTACCCCAACTTGCACTAATGGCTAAACTCACCTTCTGAATATATCATCCAAACCCTGCAAAGAAAGCAAGAAAAATTTAGATTCCTGAAGAAGTGAAACACAAAGTTTGTTATAATTCATATAAAAGATAGGCCACATCATACTATCTAACTTGAAATTTTAATTAGAAGGTTAATGCTAACAAACAGATGAGAACAATTCTAATTCTTGATGAAATAAGGCTGTGAGAGTAAATTATGAGAAGCACATAGATATTGATTATACATTGACATTGAAACCCCAGCTATCTGCAAAAGGTAACATTCACTGAGCTGAACACAAAAGCACAGAGGGATACTTTAACTAGGGTACTTCAAATGTATGACCTCTCCCATGCATGCTACCTCATGCCCCTAAGTATGGAATTGCCAGGTTAGATGCCCCTAGATTACTGTGAGTTGTGGGTGATCCATAGACTAGAACCCCATCTTAAAATCCTATCCTCCTAAAGATCTCTCAAAATTACAACATTCAAAGAGAAATTAAGTAATAACATTCTTTGAAAATATGCACAATTACCAAGTAGAGGCTATAGAGTGTAAGAAATGACAATATTGAATTTCAGCTTTCAGAGAGGCAAGTTACAAATCAAAAATTAGGATATATTTCTTGAGGAATCTACTAACACAATTTTTTAAAATATCTTGTTCTGGCAGGATTATTACAGAATTTAGTTTCTTCAGATTATTACTGAAAAAGAACCCCCTAAAATAAATGCAGGAAATGTTAAAAAAAAATCTTAGTATAATAACCACCAGTGTGAGCCTAAGACAATAAAACCTTTGTCTCACTCCTCCCTGCTCACCTGCAGCAGCACCAAATATGGCTCCTGGGACATCGCCATCAGTTCCTGGTGCATTTCTCTTAGTTGTTTGCTCTTTTGAATCATCACAGCTTTACTTTCTCTGAGTTTCTCCAAAACACAATTGCCTTCATTTTTCATGTGTTCAATGTGTTCCTCTTCCTGTTCATGTGGGACTGCATGCCATATCCTATACTCTATCCTGATTATGTCTTCCCTCATAATCAGGAAGTTCTGAAGAAAACAAGACATTGTCAGGGATATTTGGAACGTATTTAATCCTACTCCATTGCAACCTTCTATGCCTAAATTTGACAAAGGACTCCTATCATTGTGCTACATACACTCTGAAGGACTTGTCAGTAATGGAAATTCCTTGGTTCCGTTTCTTTCAAATTTCCTTCTTAATGAAAAGGCCTGCTGGATACTATGGGTCTGTAGGCTGAAGATGAATGCCCCAATATTGCAGAGGAACTTTGGGTGACTGTCCAGTTAGTGAGATGTCTCTGTCAGTTCTAAAGATTTGGAAGTTATTTACAATGCACTTCCTGTTAATTTAAGTAATACTATAGCCTTCTGGAATCTTTGATGGGCTTGAAGAATAGATAGTTATGATTATAGTTTTCCTTAGTTATGATAAAAGTAAAGTAGATATACATATTGTAACTGTAATTCATGATTTAAACTATTTGGTTATATGTAATTTTACTAAGTTAAATCCTTCCCTTTTATTTAGACAGAAAAGGGGAGGTAATGTGGGATTTCCTTCTGTATGGTGTAAATGTATTTTGTTGCCATTAGTTAGTAAAGAAGCTTCTTTAGGCCTCTGGCAGAGCAGATTAAAGCAAGGTAGAAATTAAAAGCAGAGATAGAAATGAAAGTAACCAGTATCAAGGAGACACCATGTAGCCACCAAAGGAGAAAGACACAAATCACCAGCCAGAACCTTACCAGTAGGATATGAGCCTCATGGTAATACATAAAATAATAGGAATTGGTTAATTTAAGACGTAAGCATCAATAAAAAGCCTGAGCTAACCAACTGAGCAGTGTTTTCATTAATACAGTTTCTGCATGATTATTTTGAATCTGGGTGGCCGAGAATGAATAAGTAGCCTCCATCAATACAAAGGAAATGAAATCCTAAGCATTTCCATCAATATAAAGAAAAAACAGGGCTGCCTGAAGGAATGGTATTGATTGATAATTCATATGTTCATGCAAATATGACACTCTGTATGCATTCATTAGAATTCATGGAGCGATCCTAGAGTCTAATGCATTGTGTTGTACTTTCAGCAATACACTCATTAGTCTCAGACTCTTTTGCCATACACCAGGCCATCTTTCCACATGCAGAGCTATATTTCACACTCAGAATGAGAGGCCATCATAACATGTTTTCCTAGTATCATATCCCATGCCTTAAATTTAATCCTTGAACGATGATATTGGAAAATAAGTATCTCAAGCAGATTTCCAGCACAAATCTCATACTCACTCTAAACAAAAGTTTCATTCTGCTCTCTGCCTCTAGATTCTCTTGAATTTCTTGGATCTTTTCCCATAAAGCTGTCATTTGCTTTAGAAGTCTCTCCTGTAAGAAACAATGAATATCAGCTTTTGATAAACAGTGATGATGGTCAGACTTTTGGACATTAAATAAAATAACTTCACAAGAAAAAAAGAATCACTATATTCCTTTTTTATTTTAGGTAACTTTGAATTTAAATTTTAAGAACACATAAATAGAATATGGCATATCCATTTGTTCAGGTAAAGTGATAAATATGAGTGATACCTGGGTAATTTACATAATTCCTACAGGATTCTCTTTAGCTGACTTCATTGTATTTTCTAATTTAGTCACCAGTCATATGCACTTTTAAAAGATATGAAAGCAGTACTTTTTCACTTTCCAATGACCTGGAAATAATGTAAATAAAACACAAGTGATCATACACCCAAGGGTTACCCAAGGATTGTTTACATTTATAGTCACTCTTTCTTCACTAGCTGCTAATAAAGGGCCACCATTCAGAAAAGAGTGGATTCCTCATAATCAGGACCAGCATCTTCCTGTGTCCAGCTGAACCTCACTCTCCAGGTTTCATGTTCTCTCAGAAGCATCACTCACCATTTGACTCTCAGCAGCTGCTTCTATGGGACAGTGTTTGTGACCTCCGTGCTCATGGGAGTCAGAGCAGAGTCGACAGAGGTAGATCCTGTTCTCCATACAGAAGATCCCCTTGGTCTCCTTGTGGGTCACACACTGATGCTCCTCAGAACTCAGGTACTTCATGAGGCTGGCTTGTCTGGCAATGGACACCAGCTTCTTCAGAACAATGTTGGTTCTGAAGTCCTTCTGCTGGGATGGTTCCCTGCACGTAGGACAATGGACAGGAACCTGGCTGTCTTCCCAGGAAAGGTGGAGGCAGGCTCGACAGAAGCTGTGACCACAGCTTATGGTGACTGGGTCTGTAAGGTAGCTCATGCAGATGAGGCAGGTGAGTTCTTCAGCGAAGGCTTGTGAGAGGTCTGACTCCATTTTGCTGAAGGAAGAAAATCAGAATTGTTATTATTAGACCAAGAGAAGAAAAAACTTCAAAATTTTATTTAAGTTGTAATTCTGTTATGTTTAAAACAGAATTTTGGTGACCAAAAATCAAAATAAGCATAGGATTGCAGTTACTAATTTTTTTCTATTTCACTCTTCTTCACATGAATAGAGTCTCTGTGCCCTAAGATCTGCATCTTTCTCAGAGACTCCATTCAAATTAAGAACTTTGTTCAAGGTCTAAGACAGGCTCTCTCAGTGCTTATGAATAAATTTACACTGGAGTGATCAAGGTACTTCAAGTACCCAAGTTGGTCTTTTACTACAGACCTATTTGGTTTAACACTTCCCTCTTTGGTTGTCTATTCAAAAGAACACTCTCCAAATAACAGGATCCCTAGTAAATGCTTTGCTGTCTGATTTAAGCATTTTACTCATTAACATCCCATTGTCCCATGATTAATAAAGGCAACCTTAGTTACTTGTCTTCTTTCTGCTGCAAGTGCTTAATAAGATTAAGAATTTATGTTCACTCGGAATTCAAGAAATGGTGGCATGAGCTTGAGGTAGCTGGTTTGATGGCTTCCAAAAATCAAGAAGCAGAAAGCAAAGAACTCTTTTTGAGCATTTCCTTTTCCCATTTTCCTTTCGGTTTAAGACCTCAGAACTTGGAATGACCTCATAAGTGCTTCATGTGGATTCCCAACTGTAGTGAATCTACCCCAAATAAACCTTCAGACATGCCAACAGGTTTCCATGTCTATACAAAAGCCCATCTTGTTGAATAGTAGGAGAGTCTCTATGGAAATCTGTCTGCTTACCAAATTTACAGTTCCTGGTTTGAGTATGGAATGAATCCTACAGACATAAATGAGAATCTCAAGACTATTTGAGACTTGGCTCTCTAATCAACAGGGGCCCATTTCCTCTCTCATTGACTATCTAAACATATCAAGAATCATGTTTTGAGTGAGGGAAATATCCTCCAAATAAGTTAAGTTTCCAGGGCTGAAGCAAATGGATTCAATGACGTTAGCTGGTGGTATGGTGTATGTTGAAAACCAATGCTAATATTCACTGTCAGTCTTAGTTTATAAAAAAGACTGTGACTACAATGTTGGCTTTTGTAACTTATCTGATGGTCCTCTTATGGTATTTTTGCTGTACATTAGATGCATAATTTCAAAACAACTTTATAAGCACCCAAAAATAATAAATATTGAAAATAAAATTTATAAAAATGTGGCAGATTTTAACCAGACACTAGTTTTATTAATAGAATTGTCTGGTTAATTTTCCTTTTTTTTTTTTTTTTTGGTTTTTGAGACAGGCTATCTCTGTGTATATTGAGAACCCATCCTGGCATGGCTCTATGGAACATTTGACCTTGAACTCACAGAGATCTGCCTGTCTGTTTCCCAAGTACTGGGATGAAAGGCATAGACCACCACCGCTAATCTAGATTTCAGTAATTTAAACGCATGTATACATCAAATCTTATATATCAATCAATAATAGAAATAGCCACTTCTTCCAAGATCATAAGGTATGACCAAGGATTGTTTTACACTAAAATTTTCCTAAAGTTTACAACAGAGAAATATCAATTATAAATTGATTATAAATTATTTGACTACATCTTGAGTCTTTGCTTTTTACATAATATCTATAAAAATATCTGTAAAGGCTAGTAATTGGTAATGCATTCAAAGCATTTAATTTTTATATATTACATAGGTATACTTAATTTACAGGTATCAGCACCTCTTGCATTTATTAATTACACACAAATTTGCTCTAGAAATACTTTTAGAAGTTAGAAAACAATCAAAACTGAAAAGGAGCATGTAAGTACCTTGAGCATTTTACATCAAGAGCAACAGAAGAGTGTGTATGGATGAATCTAAAATTATCGATCACTCTAGGTCATGTTATATCTATAAAGAAAGATGACCACATGGAACACAATCTTTTTTGGTAAGTTGAAAACGGTCATTTCTAAGCAGAAACCTCACTTGGATAAAGAATTATGAATAGGAAATAACAATGATTTTTCTCCTGTAAACAGTGCACTCACCCATGAAATTGTCTCAGGTCTCAGCAGTGTTTAGTAGGGACACCACAACATTACCTCAGCTCTGGTGTTCAATCCTCAATGGGTGCAGGTGATCGATCCAACAGTCAAGGAACCAGAATGTATAGAAACACACTCTGTCTGCTCTGGTAAAAAACAGACCTGGCTGGGCCCTGGAGGGGCCTTATATAATCTCTAAAGACCACACCCAGTTCCTACCATAGTTGCCTTCACTAATACATCAAATATGTGACCATTTGTCAGTACCAGTATTCTGACTGGATGGAAGGTGGAATTAACTGTGGCCAGTCCCCACAAGCAAATCTCCATATCAAGGTTTCCTGAGCCACTGCTTAGCTGGGTGTGGTAGCTCACACCTTTAATCCTAGAGTTCTAGGGAATGGGCTGCTGAAGCAGGGGGAGTTTTAGTTCAAGGCCTGCCTAGGATATGAACTGAGAATTTGCCAAAAACGATAGTGACTTTCCCACAATGATTGACAATATCTAAATACTTTGTGGTGCACTTATATTCTGCTCTTGATAGTGTAACATATGGTCATGCCAATAATCTGTGATTTTACTAAATATCAACATTTAAAAATTCTTAATAGAAAAGTAAAAAATTAGTTTTAAAGGGGCTTAGAGCTGATTAGAGGTTAAAAGCACTGAGTTCTATACCGGAGATCCTGAGTTCAATTTCCAGTTACCTAATGGTGACTACAACCATCTATACTTAGATTTGATGTCTTCTGGAGTGCAAGCATGCTGTGGGACAATGGTTTTACCTTGTAAAAACTTGTTTCTTGTACTTGTTTAATAAAATGCTGATTGGCCAGTCGTCAGGAAGGAAGTATAGGCAGTTCAACCAGGCAGCAGGTGATAGAGGCAGGGCAATGAGAACAAGAGAATTCTGGGAAGAGGAAAGATGAAGTCTGCAGTCTTCACCCAGATGCAGAGAAAGCAAGATGAAAATAACCTCTGTGTAAACCTCTGTGTGTTTCTTTTAGAAGTGAATGGATGCAGGACTGGGCAGGACAAAAAAACTCGGTCAACGAATGGTGCCCAACGTGAGGCAATTGCATTCACAGAAAGCCTGAGAGTGCTTGGGAAGTAATGCTAGACACAAAATAATGGTGTTAAGCATGGCTTCTTGGTAGCAGCAATTTCTTGGGTTTGCTCTTTGCTAGAGGCAAGTGAATCTCATTCAAGAGAGGCTTCCTGACACAGTTTTAGCTGCGAAACTTTGCCGTTCTTGTAAGAGGCCCTGACATCAAACATTTAAATGGTGATTATGAATTGCCAACAGCATGTTTATTGGTGGTGTCAGGGACCTTGTAACTCCAAAGAGTTGTGGCAATAAACATGGCTCCAGACAGCACCTCCACCATGAAGCTAGGCTCTCAGAAACCTAAGGAATAGGTTGGATCCAGCCGTCAAAGCTACAGCTTTACTCTTAGCTATATCATTTAGAAAATTAAAGATTCATGTGGTATGCAGTAAAAATGGATTCAAAGATGAAGAAAACCTCTGAACAGTTTAGAGTGTGTTTAAGAATTTGTGTAGGCTTGGGAGAGAAAAGAAAAAGGATAAAGTCCTTTAAAAAAAAAAAAGGGAGTAGTTAGGCGTGGTGGCACACACCTTTAATCCCAATACTTTACAGGCAGAGAAAGGCTAATCTCTGCAAGTTCAAGTTGTGATCACACACCTTTAATTCCAGCTCTTAGGAGGCAGAGGCAGGCAGACCTCTGCGGGTTCAAGGTGTGGTGGCATAACACCATTAATCCCAACACCTTGAAGGCAGAGCAGGCAGATCTCTGTGAGTTTGAGGTGTGGTAGCACACATCCTTAATCCCAACACTTTGGAGGCAGAGGCAGGCTGATCTCTGTGAGTTCAAAGTGTGATGGCACACACCTTTAATTCCAGCTCTTGGGAGACAGAGACAAGCAGATCTCTGTGAGTCAAGGACAGCCTGGTCTATAGAATGAGTTCCAGGACAGCAAAAGATACACAGAGAAACCCAGTCTCAAAAAGCCAAAAGTTAACAATAAATGAAATAGAATTTAAACTAAAGCCACATAAAGATGGAAAACACAGACAATCTGAATACTGTAAATTATTATGTTCTCTTTTAATTGTTTGAATGCCAAAGAAGGAGCAACAGCTACTAAAAAAAAAATTGATTATAAATGTTGCTGGATTAATCCAACATACATATTTTGAAAATGCTTTGAATTCAAAATTTATGTTAAAAGATATGTTACCTTGGAGAAGAGATTTTGTTTTTGTTTCCACAGGAATTGAGAGGATGTGGATTCATTCTGGGCTTAGAAAACTCAGGTTTCATGAAGTAATACCCCGTGAGAAATTTCCATAGGAGCAGATGGCCCAGATAATCCAACGTTTCAGAGGACCTCTGTTGGAGTTTCCTCTGCGTTCTACATCCAGAACAGTTCCAAGACTCCTAGCTGGGATAATCAAGCCTCACAAAATTTTTCAGTCGGGACTTGACCGTAATTCCAAATTATCTTTAGGTCCTGTAAGATTATCAACACCCCCAATCAGCAGGAAGTATCCTGGAAAACTAAGCCTGAATTCCCAAAATACGGTTTATGGATGTTTTTCTTTGTTTAGAGTATTGTTACAAGATGTATGGATAACGGTCAGGAAGGAAGCTAAACAAGCGGGATTCGATTCAGAGACTGACACATCTATGAAGGGCATGAATAAATGCTCTAAAAATGTTCTTTAAATTTAGACAACAATCAAAATTGAAAAGTGAAAGTTCCTTGAGCATTGTACTTTAGGGCAGTAAAAAAGTGTGTATAGATAAAACTAAAGTTATCTATCACTGTAACTCACATTATATTGACAAATAAAGATGACCAGATGGTAACAGAATTTTTTGGTAGTGACAAACAGTCATTTCTAAGCAGAAAACTCGGTTTGGTAATACAGTAAGAATAGGAAATATGAAGGAATTTCCTCTGTAAACTGTGTACTCACCCAAGGAATTGTCTCTGGCCTCAGTAGTGTTAAATGAGAACACCACAATATTTCCTCAGCTCTGAGGCCCAAACCTCACTGTGTGCAGGTGATCAATCCAGCAGTTGAAGAGTCAGAATGTATGGAAACACACTTTATCTGCTCTGGCGAAGAATGCACCTGGCTGAGCTCTGGAGTGTCCTTATATACTCTCGAAAGACCACGCCCACTTCCTCCCATGGTTGCTTTTATTATTGCTTCCATTATGTGACCCTTTGTCGATAGCAGTATTCTGACTGGATGGGAGATTGAATTAACTCTGGGGCCAACCTCCACAAGCAAATCTCCACAACAAGCTTCCCTGAGTGAC